AATTGTAGAGAACCTGCAATGAAATACGTGTTAGCACTGTCAGATTACCAACGCTGTGACATTTCGTTTCTGGTTAGATTATACGTTACTATAGCGGGCCTTGCATTTGCTCCTTAATTGGCCCGGTATAGGTAATGAGCTGGCATCTTGCCGCAAAGCTCTACTGCTACTACATGGTTATGTCCGGGTTGGAGCAACGAGATAATAAGTATTAGTGTAACGGAAGCCTAATCGCGTTCTCCGCTAGGAAGCACTAGTACTGCCGTTGAAAGCTCCGAGAGCGCGTTCGCCCGTATTTCATCGATATTTTAAGCGTTTCAACTTCCCGAGTCTTCCGCCAAATCGCACTTGCGCTCACCATATTCGATCAACATAAGGCAGCATCTGACTCTTGGCTAGAGGCTCTGACCTACACCGGTCCGCCATGATTGTCTATGGCCCAGGTACGAGTGAGAACGCAGTGCTGCCGCGATGGAATGCACGCAGGTGTCTAGATTAGTTTGCTCTCCATGTATGGTATCTATATTGCCGCCCAGCCAGCTGAGCTGAAGCGTGCAGATCTCCAGTTAGCATCCCCTGATTCTAGCCTTTGCATTCGCGGTCTGGTGTAAGCAACACATACCCTCTCAGCACGTTTTTTCCACGACCTTATAATCCCCGCGCTCATCATACGCCTTGAATCACCCATATGTAACGATATGTAATAATCAAAGGACGTAGCTAATAGAAGATCGTGCCTATTATGTACGTCTTGGGCGTAATAGTCCGGCGGTAAGCAGACTGCAACTTTGACTCCTACGTTTTAAAACTAGTTCGGGGCTCGGACTTATTTTTTTGCGGGTGACCAGTTGTGTTACACGGCACTACCGCTGGGGACATATAGAGCCCTGATTCAGCTATAGCATTGCCCGGGAATCGAGTGGCGCCAGGTTCATAGATTAACATATATACACGATATGCATATATGCCATTCGCTACTATATATGCGGCCCTGCCTGTTGTCGCGCGCTAAACGCGGGGCGCGGGTGCACGGTGTTTGTATTTAATCGGGGCCAGGCTCGCGAACTAAACTTTCGATTATTGGTTAATATAACATAATAAGAAAATTGTGTGTTTGTGGTGGTGCTGTGTGTGCTGGGGTTATGTGCTGTGTGTGTGTGTGTGTGTGCTTGCGCAAAGGGGTGTACGTGTGTGCGGTATGTATGTGACTATGTGGTGGCAACATCCTATAGATGTTATGGCGACTTCTAGGATAGTCTCTCTCTGTCCCCCTCTCCCTCTGGCGGCGGCGTCTTGTTCGCGTCGATGCTGCTGCTGGGCCCGCGCGTCTCCCCCTTTTAGTCTAGTGGTCTGCGTATATGTATATTACTGCTCATAGCCAGTTTAGCCGTATGGCGGAGGAGCAATGCGAGGGGAAACTCCATTTCACGTTTAGATTGACTTTTATGACACACATCTGTTTCGTATTTGAATAGGAATCTTGTACGAGATACTTATACTGAGCGACAACAAACGAAGTAAGATGTCAAAGTTACAGCAGTGTCTTCGAGCTTATAAGTGAACGCACTGTGTAACAGTGTTACGACATTTAAGGTCATATATTAAGTAGATTTTGCATGGCGGCCTAACAATCCGTTGTGTGAGTAGATCGACGAGTGCTCCTTCCGTGGTGTGGCAGTAGATGTGCTATAAATACCGGATTAACAAGGTTGAATTTGACCAATATAATTAATTAGGGCATATTTGATATGAAGGCGCGTGGATGTATCATTCGGTGATGAGTATGTCAGCAGGAAGTCGTATTTGTGCTATTATTCCGCAAGCGCCCAACATAAATTAGAGAAGAGACACGACTTTTTTCCCTTGCGTAGTTCTCACTTTCTGGCGCTTACGTGGTGTTAGAGTTCGCTGTTAGATGCGGATTGGGACAGACGCTAGCTCCGTAGATTTTTCCACCCAATCTTACGCGCAGCGTGTGTATGTCATCAGCGCGGTTTTTATAGAAAACAGCATCTCTGGATCCAATTCGGCAGGGCGCATTCAACACGCTGCCTCATCAGATGACTCGTTGCTACGCTGCCCTGCCGCTGTCACGCGCTAGAGTGGCAAGAATGGCCGTAACGTCACGCTTCTCCCACCAGTGTTGAGGCCAATGACATAACTGTTACTTGTCTTTAGCAGGGTCTGTGTGTGAACAAACACCCGCTTCTTAATAAGCCGGTGGAGAACAGGGATCGCAGTGTAGCTCCCGCGGTGCGTGGCCCAGCGGTGGAGGTGGTTCGCGTGTGCGTGAGTCGGAGGGTACAGCTGGTGCTAGCATACTCCTCGCTGTATGGCGTTTACTTATCAGATATTGGCTTCATCTTGGCGGGCAGCTTCTAGGGGAGAGTCTGCGATCTTTGGGCGGGGTGATCCGCAGCGGAGTGGTGTAATAACGGGTCGGTGGTAATATGTGAGCGACTCCGTCTGATAAAAACCGTTCTTGGTTGATGCGCCTCCACAACGTTGCATGACAGAGTTGAGAGGTCGCGAGGATGGTACGGGGCGGCGCTGCTCACGTATGCGTTTGGGTACTCAGCAGCATACGATCCTATCGTGATCCTGCTCATTGTCCACTACGTACTACGTGAAATGAACCCAATGGGAAGGAGGCATCGCTCACGTACGTACGAGCGCAAGATGTAGAAAACTGCAATGAGATCACCATAGTAATAGTATAAAGCATGAGTAGCATTGGATGCAGTAAAGTTTGTGTACTTGTTTTTTAATGTTCATCTATTTTTTTTAATATGGTATAAGCTTGCAGAAACGGTAATATACAATAGGCTACCTGGTTCCCCGCGGCCCTGGGTAACCTGCCTGTGAAAGGCCACCACCGCCTTTCCGTACGTGGCAATAGGGAGTGGATATGTTTGCATATTGGGCTCGATGGTCGCTTGTTGGGCAAATTCAAGCCTGCACATTTCAGCACACATTGCTGGCAGATCCGATGCCAATGCATCTCTAAACTCAGTTACACCTTTTCGCCATGGATGCCCAACTACCGAATGTAGACTTTACATAATATTGATAAAAGATGTGTGTGTGTGTGTGTGTGTGTGTGTGTGTGTCGTGGTGTGGCGGGGGGGGGTGTGCCTGTTGAGTGTGTGTGCATGTGTCGATGTGTGTGTGTAGTGCTGATGTGTGTGTGTGTGTGTGTGTGGTGTGTGTGTGTGGTCTGTGTGTGCTCGGTGTGTGTGTGGTGTGGGTGTGTGTTGGGGTGTGTGTGTGCTTGTGCTGTGCTGTGTGTGTGTGTGTGTGTTTGTGTGTACAGCCCAATGATCTATAGCATGGTATGGGCGGCTTCTATATCTCTCTGGCTCTTTCTCGTCGTAGCTCTGGGGTGCCTCTCTCTCTCTTCTCGTCCCTCTCTCTTCTTTCTTTCTCGCTCTCGTGTCTCTCGTCCGATCGTCGGTCGCGCGTCTCGTCTGCTGCGTCGTCTCTCCTCTCTCTCTCGTCGCTCTCTCGCTATTCCGCTTCTCTGCTATGTATGTGAGGCTGTGATTCTCTGCGTAGTAGCTATATGCTGCACAGTGCAAGCAAATTCTTACTTGCTACGATGTGCATGCGATGAACATACACGTCACGACTATTTCTCAGTTAATCGTCATTGTCCGTGATAGTTCGGCCGCCTTCCCCGTATTTCACCATGATCTTGTGCGTTTTGAGCTTCGATTTCTTACGGAAATTCAGTTTATTACCCGTTCAACACGTACGTCAGATCTAACTCTTAACTGCCTTACCGTATACACGCAAGCCATGATGCACGACTATAAGCAATGTAACGTTTAACGTAGCCTTCGTATATAATTACAGCAAGTGCACGTGAACTAGTTTACATGGTATCAGAAGTAGATAATAAGGAATTTCCCTATTATCTACTTCTGATGGTATATAAATAAAATTAATGTTCTCTTGATTAGCTGGATATAGCGTACAGTCCATGTAGGGATTGCCCGGTTAGTTCAAGCCTCAGCTAATTTTTCAGGCTCAGTACGGAGTTCTTTATTGACTGACCAGGCTTTAGCGAGTACAGAGCGGCTAAGAACCCTGATAAAGTGACAACCTGGATCGTAAAATCCGTGTGCTTTTCGACCTTCGGCCAATCTTTCCACACACACACACACACACACACACACACACACGCAACACGCACACGCACACGCACACGCCACACGGACACGCACACGCCACGACGCACACGCCACACGCAACACGCGACACACACACACACACACACACACTCCCTCTCTCTCTCTCTCTTTCTGCTCCCCTTTCTCCATCGTGCGCGCTCGCTCTCTTTATCCTTATTCCCCTTATTCCTCTTACCCTTAATAATTATTCGGCCTATTTCTACACTTGCTCCGTCTCCGTTACCCTTTCCTTAATTTATAATTTCGCACACTATCGCCTTCTCTGTCTCTCTCTCTCTCTCTCTCGAGTGCTTCCTCCACTTCTCTCGCTCGCTAGTCCCGCCACCCATCCCCGTCTCCCTTATGCCCAATCCCGCACCATAATATTCCTCTCCGCTGCTCTCAATTTCTTCCAAGCTCAGGGAATTTCCGCTACATAGTTGAACGCTTACATAGGGCCCTTGAAACAAATAGACGAAATGAGTTTTCAACGAGTGAGAAGTTTTCAGTCGATTTATTTTTATTTTAAATATTTTAACATAATATATTTGTTGTGCTGAATTCATGCTGCCACCCCTAGTCTGCAATGGGATCATAAAACCAGAGAACCTGTTTCATGAAAATATTAAAGTATTTCACGAATTGATATGTTTATATAACTTCTTAGCTAGCTTAGCTGGGATTTGTAAAGATGTAAGCAATTTAATACTCTCTATGATTGCGATCAAACACATTTTTTATGCCTGTAAAGGTGCGATACGCGGAGGAGCAAACATATTCCTAACATCATCATTACGATTTTCAACGGGATTCGATTCCAAAGAAGTCCTAGATAACAAAGACGCCCAAATTAAGAACAGACGCGACCTTTTCTAATGGTAGCTTCACTTCGTGTTTCGTGTACAGTCGCTTTGTAAGTAAATCGGTGCGAGTTCCAAGCGCCTCTAGCATTCTTGTCGCTTGTATGTTGTCATCAGGTGTATAGATACTGATCTCTGATGCATCCGGCAGGGCCATTAACACCTGCCTCATCAGATCACTCTGTACCTGCTCCATGTCACCGTAGAGTGGACAGATGCTATAATTTATATTGCCGACCATGTTGTTGGCAATGGCAAAACCTGTGATCTTGCCTTCAGCATCTGTCGCTACAAACGTCAGCTTCTTATAGGCCTGTATGTATGGACGCAGATAATCTCCGCGGTCGTGCCCAGCGATGGTCCTGTCGTAGTCGAGTACAGCTTGCAGCATCTCATCGCTATATGGCATCACTATGATATTAGCATTATCTTCCAGCTTCAGGGATGCTGCGAGCTTGGCGTGATCTACGGTGTAGCGTCGTGTGGTCGTGATGAACGACTCGACGATGAAGCCTATGCGCGATAGAAGCCTATAATACCTTCAGATAGGAGTNGCCCTATCTCCAGTTCCTCCTCAGTCGTAGCGTACTATGAGCAAGCCACCGTAAAGCCCTCGTTACCGACTACAGTGCAGCTGCCTCAAAAAAACCTGCAATGAGAGACCATGTATACTTATTATTAACGTACACTCTTCTGCTTGTGGGTTTTATTTTTATTTGGTGTATTGGGATATAGATTGCAGTACTTAGGCGTACGCACTGATTCCTCGATAGGTTACATTGCCTAGAAAGCTCTGCCCCTTCATACTACCTAATTAGCATTAACTCATTAACCTCCGATGTATTTGTGAGTGAATTGTGTATGCTGTCGTAGAGCGATCGTAGCAGCGGCGTGTTGCGACTTGCTGTAACCTTTACCGTTGCTACATCCCCATTCCCATCTGCATCAGCATGTTTTAGCAATAGGTTAATTACAATCACAGGCACTTGGAACGTTTCAATAATAAAATGATGGTAATGAAACACGTAATGTATTTACTAGCAAAGTCTTAAATGTTTCTTTACTCTCATTCGCCTATTATTTACGATAATTTCCTGTAAATGCCGTTCAAATGCTCTCCTGCAACCATAGAAATATATAGAGACACTAGCCTAACTATAGTATATTGTTTGCAACACACAAGCACACCGCACGCACGCCGCTGTGCACAAACAACAAAATTACACGGCAAAACAATACTAAACAAAAACTCGATAATTTGTTTGTTTGTGCCCAGCGGCGTGCGTGCGGTGTATTTGTGTGTTGCAGAGGAGCATTTGAACGGCATTAACAGAATCAGGAGTGAATAATAATAGATTATTCACTCCTGACAGACTCCACAATATATTATTCACGCATTCTCCTTATTCACTCCTCAATTCTATTATTATTCACTCCGGTCAGAATATTATCATTAATAATATGTGATGGGGAGTAAAGAAACATATTAAGACCTTGGTAGTAAATACATTTCGTGATTAATTACCATTATTTTATAATTGACACGTTCCAAGTGCCTGTGATTACAATGTGAGCGAATGCGCATGCTTCTGCGACGGTATGTGCAGACGAATATATACACGTAGTGAACATGTACGCGACATGGTTCTCCGCTAGTTGTCACTGCGTGGCAAAGCTCCGCCGCTTCCCGTATTTCAGAATGATTCCTTGTGCATTTTGAGCTCGTAGTCACACGAAAATCTTCTTGCCCACCATTTCAGCACAGCGTACGTCAGATCTGACTCTGTAGCATCCCTGATGTGCACCCGATCCGCACGATTGATGCCTAATACCCAAGTAAGATTAGCTATGGACTCTCCGCGTTCACAAATGATTACAACAGGAAGCATATTGAACTATGTTACATAATGTGAACATTTTGTGAATAACCTACGTAATGTGTAATGTGTACATAAACTACTCACGACAGATAAAGAAGCGTCAGTCTATGTAGCGATAACTCTAGGTTCAGTCCAGTCACGTATATCGGTGTACTGTCAGACTAAGTGAGCAGCTAGATCATAGCGGAGGCGTAGCGGAAGTAAAACATTGTCTACTGCTTGCTGCTCTTGGGCTACTGGCGTGTCCTTCTCATTCCCCTCTCTACGCCCTTCCGACTGATCTATCTATATCATAAGATAATATGTTATATATTAATTTAGAGAGCTCCCCTCTCTCGCGCGTGCAACTCGCAAGGACTCTTTATCCACCCTCTCACTTTTCTTTCTATTGGACACTTGCCTTCGTCTCCTCTTTCGTGTCTCTCTCTACATTTCCCCCTTTTCACGCTATTGTATCATTTTTCATTTAATTCTTTGTTGTCTTCTCTCCAGTGTTTTTTCCCGCTCTCTCCTTCTCTCGTATTCCCTCCGTCCATCCCTCACTCTTATATCCCAATCGCGCTCTATCCGCCACCATAATGCCCCTCCCATGGCTCTCAACTATCCGTCACAACCCTTACGGGGGAATATTCCTGAAGCTAATGGCTCTTGTGCAAAGCAAATCGAGTGCAAAGTAAAATTCTTCATTAATATTTATATTTATTATAAGTAAAAAGATTTCCTTTGTTGAGCTGAATGTTACGTGCCACCGGTACTCGTGATTGTGGTGTGTGTGTGTGTGTGTGTGTGTGTGTGTGTAGTGTTGTTGTTGTGTGTGTGTGTGCATGATGTGTGTGTGCCTGTTGTGCATTGTGTGTGTGGCTGTGTGTGTTGTGTGTCGTGTGCTCTAAATGTGTGTGTGTGTGTGTGTGTGTGTGTGGAGTGGTGCATGTGTGTGTCGGTGTGTGTGATGTGTGGATGTGTGTGTGTGTGTGTGTGTGGGTGGTGCATGTGGTGTGTCGTGTGTGTGTGTGCCCGTGCGTAGCGTGCGTTTCTGGTGCCTTGCGGGTCGCCGTGTCGTGCATGCCGTCATGCGTTGCGTCGGTCTGTGCGTCGGCTGTGTGACCCCCCCGTTGTGTAATGTGTGTTGTGTTGGTGTGGTGTGATGTGTTGGTGTGTGTGTGTGTGTGTGTGTGTTGTGTGCATGTGTGTGTGTGTGTGTGTAAGTGTCGGTGTGGGCGTGCAGTGCTGTTTTCGTGGTCGGGGTGTGTTGCAGTGCGTTGCGTGCGGTGTGCGTGTGTGCGTGTGTGTATGTGTGCATTTGTGTGTGTGTGTGTGCTGTGTGTGCTGTGTGTGCTCTGTGTGTCGGGTGTTCGTGTGTGTGATGTGTGTCCAGTGTGATGATGTGGTGTGTTCCAATTCGTCTGTGTTGTGTCTGTGCGTATACGGTGTGGTGTGTGTGCTACCGAGAAATCTATGGTCCGCCGTCTCTGCTTTGCTCAGTATATTGCCATTACATTTACCTACCATACAGCTCACGCTCAATAGTAGGATGGGCTAGCTGACCTTTTTCAATGATTATACACTTTTCAGCATTTAGAGGTGATACACGGAGGAACAGAACCTTTCCTAACATCTTTATAACGATTTACAAAGTAAAAATCTATTTCCAATGAAAGTTCTAGATCGAAGAAGATATCCAGATTAAAGAACAGATATGACTTGTTCAATTGTAGTTTTCACCCTCGTTCTGCCGGAAATCGTCGGCGCGATGCTGCGAACAAAATGAAAGCATTGTAGCATCAGATTTAAACATCACACGTGCGTCGGGCCCCGCGCCGCGACTTAGTTTGAAGCGATGAGAACGGCCGGGAAAAAAATATTTCTTTGTCAGGTCAACGGGCCCGAGCACCTGAGCGCCATACTGCACGTACATTAATATCGGCGGCATAGCGGGGAATCCACGGGCGGTAAAGCTGCCGAGCAAGCGTGAATATTAATAGACCGGATTTTACAAGCCACAATTTGCTGTCAGCATGCCCGGCTCTCGGGTTTGAACGTATAAGAACGGACCCGAAAGAACAATTATCTTTGGCAGTCATTATGCGGACGACGCGGAGATAGCGCCATTCTTCAATGAACATTAGCATGTAGGCTGGGCATTCGTGGCGCGATGCTGCGTAGCAAAAAGTGAAGCATGTAGATCAGATTTTACCATGCAACAAGTGCTGTCAGCCTGCCCGCTTCCAGGTTTGAATATAAAGAACGACCGAAGAAAATTTTCTTGTCAGTCAACGGCGACGACGGCAAAGCGCCATTTCCATTAAACATTTAGCAATAGGCTGGGAATCGTGGCGCGATGCTGCGACAAAAGGAAGCATGTAGATCAAATTTTACCATGCACCACGTGCGTCGGCCCCGCCCGACCGAACTTAGTTTAAACGTATGTGAGAAACGACCGAAGAAACATTCTCTTCGGCATTCAACGGCTGACGCGACGCAACAAGCGCCAATCTGCAGCACTAATATCGGCTAGAGGGGAAACCCAAGGGCTGTTGAAGCTTGCGAGCAAAACGTGAATATTATAGACCGGATTTGACCCAGCACAAGTTGCTGTCAGCCTGCCCGGCTTCCGGTTTGAACGTATACGAGCGGCGAAAAAAGGTCTACACAAACAAAGGTTTACAGCCGCTACTGATTAAAAGTTATTAGCGGAAAGCTATGAGATAGTCCCCTAACCATTTTAAATGTTACTATTCATTCCACAAATATAAAACTCCTCTGTCCGTGAGATATTGCGCAACTGCGCTAACACACTAATGTTAGCCAGATTGTCTGTTACTGGCTAGTATACGCACCGGGACCTTACATGCCAAGGCGTTTCCACCTTTTCTTAAATTGAATTGTTCTACTGATGGATGGTCATCATTATAACATGTATGCTGGATAACTCCTCTATCATTTTTAGCATGCATAAACTTTTGCACAATGACGGATTTTCTTTGCGTGAGATCATTGCGCGATGCTGCGCGCACCGTGTTAGGCTGTGCAGTGCCTCTGAGGAAACCTTCATAATATAGCTTCGCTGCGGGGAGATTGGGGATGCGAGACTGACGAAAGGCGGCAAGCGAAGATAGCTGGGGGCCGATATAGGAAGAGAAGAAGGAGATAGAGCGAGGGGACAGGGCGGCAGGGGGGTAAGGAGCGCGAGGGCAATAAAGTACGGTGTTTTGTACCCTCAATATGCTAGGGCGCTTCACTAATTTAATAAAGAAGGGTTACTGATAAAAGTTTATATAGCAGAAATCTATGCTGAGAATATCCCCTAACTATTTTAAACTGTATATATCATCACACAATATAAGCTCTCTGGTGAGATATGCGCCATGCCGCCAACACAATTAACGTTAGCCAGGATTGTCTACTAGCTGGTATACGCACGGCGGGGGACCATTACATGCCAAGTCTTACTCCTATTTTATTAAATAATGATCAACCTGACTAGAATGTTAGTCTATAAATCTCATGCTTAGGATAACTCCTCTTCATTTTAAATGCATAATCTTTGCACACTGCACAATAGCGATTTCTTCTCGGGAGATATTGCTGCATGCGCTGCGCACCGATGTTTAGGGGAAGTAGCAATTGCCCGTCTGAAGAAAACCTCATAATAGTAGCTTTTTTCTGCGGAGACGCGAGGGGTATGCGGACACTGAAAGAAAAGACGGCAGGAAAAGATCTAAGCTGGGGAGATAGAAGAAGAGGGACAGGCTGAGCGATGGATCAGGACGGGGTGGTACGGGACGCGAGGGGATAAAGTAGGTGTTTTGTACCCTACCACGCTAGGGCGGTCTACCCTAATTATAAACAGCAGGATCTATGTAAAAGTCTCATGAGGGAGATCCTATGCGGAGTACCCTCTAACCATTTTAAAGCATATTCCATCACAAATTATAATCCTACTGCCTTGTGAGATATGCGCATGCGCTAACCATAACGTCAGCAAGTGGTGTTTGTTACTGGCTGCCGTAGTATCGCAGCGGGGACCTTACATGCAAGGTGATTCCTCCTAATTTCTTAAATGATGATAACTGATAGAATGGCTAATCACTATAATCTAATGCTAGGAATAACTCCACTTCTTCTACAATGCATAATCTTTTGCAAAAATACGATGCTGGATCTCGGTGGATATTGCGCATTGACACGCGCACCGTGTTAGGCATGACCAGTACCGTCTGAGAGCAAACTTTTAATATAGCTTGCAGAGGGGGAGAAGGAATGGGAGATGAGGAAAGGCGGCAGGGAAGCATAGATGATGGGCGGTATAGAAGACACAGAAGGAGGCTGAGCGAGGGACAGGGGGAGGCAAGGCGTAGGACGCGGAGGGCATAAAGTTAGGTGTTTGTACTTACTATGTAGAGCGCTCTCCTTAAATAGCATGTTACTCAAACGTGTACGTGAGCACGCCGGCCACCGTAACCTAGCACTTGACTCCGTCATGCACCGCGTAGAGTTTTACAAGAAGCGTGGATTCACCGTCGAGTCGTTCATGACTGAGCTACGATACTACTCAGTCGATCACGCCAAGCTTGCAGCATCCCTGAAGCTGGAAGATGATGCCAATATCATAGTGAAGCCATACAGCGAGGAGATGCTGCAAGCTGTACTCGACTACGACAAGTCCATCGCTGGGCAGGACCGCGGAGACTACCTGCGTCCCTGTTTACAGGCTTATAAGAAGCTGGTGTTTGTTGCAACAGATGCTGAAGGCAAGCTAACAGGTTATGTCGTTGCCATCAACATGACTGGGGAAGTGAGTTACGGCATCTTCCCACTCTACGGGGACACGGAACAGGTACAGAGTGATCTGATGAGGCAGGTGTTAATGGCCCTGCCGAATGGATCAAAGATCACTTTCTATACACCTGACAACAACGCGCCTGTGGCAAGGATGATAGAGGCACTAGTGATAGAGGCACTAGTGTGGCAAGGATGATAGTGGCAAGGATGATAGAGCTAAGACTGTGCTAAATTCAAAGCGACTGTACACGAAGCACGAAGTAAAGCTACCATTTAAAAAGGTCGGGTCTGTTCTTAATTATGTTGCCTTCGGAATCTAGCGCAAGAAGATCTTTTAATCTGGCTATCATATTAATGATTTTAGAGTTAGTGGTAATTCTGCAATCAACTACTCCGAAACGCAAAGAAATACAACTTGCCATCTTGGTCAAAAAGATGGTCACATATGCTCATTGGGCATCAACGTTAAACAGCATCAACATCAAGTCAGAATCTTTGGCGGGTGGTAGCCGCGATACCACAATCCCTAACAAATATCAAAATTATGTAAATATCTAGAATACGCGTACAGTTTGTTATAACATTCGTTGAACCGATGACGTAGTGCTGATGCAATCGCGATTGAGTTAAGCAACTTAACTGCACTTAAATAAAACGAGTTGCTCTCAGAATTTCAGACGGTGCCCTTCCACTTCTTTAGGAATTAACTACGTGCTATCACGCTGTATAGGTGATACAGAGATAATGGGTAAGCACTCGTTTAATCTAGTTTGCTTATTTACTTTAATGTTATAACTCCTTCAATTCTTGCATCGTTCCTAAATACAGCGAAGCCATTGGGTTGCAAAGTCACTCCGTCAGTCGGTTGGTAACGAACCAGGTCACCGGGCACCTCCTTGTTTAATTTGTAATTAATTATTTTTTAATTGGTATTTTTGTTCTCTTCTGCTGTGGCCTTCTTCTGGTAGACGTGTATGGTGTACCGTTTCTTGACCTTTGACCGCCTTTCCAAGGATTGATTTTCTGTTGCCCCGTAGTCAACAGCTTTACTCCTACGCACACAGGCACATACGCTCGGCCACGCACACATACACAGACACAACGGCAGTCAGGTTTATTTTATTGTATTAGGCAATAGATGGCGCCACATTCGTGCACGACTTTTCGGTAGAAACATTTTCATTGCTAGGTACGAGCATAGAGGGAGGGATACTGGCGACATTGCACTACACTAATTACAGTTGTACCCGTATCTGACAACTTGATAGATCGCAGGCGTCGTTCGCAAATACTAGTTGTGGTTTTTGTTTTTTTCGAGGCAGGTACTATACGCGCTACACATACACGTTTCGGTGCACCTCGGGTGTATTCGAATAATTTCGCAGGTAAAAGTTACAGATCGAGCACAGGCACTTGGAGCGTTTT